CCTGCAGCTGCAGGAGCTGCACCTGAGGGGAGCCGACCTCACCGTCCTGGACCAGTCAGGGTGGAGCTTGCTACACCATGCTGTTAGTACAGGAAGCAAGGACATGGTGCGCTACATCCTCGACAATGGTAACAGAAACGCATCGAGTGGAGATGAAGATCTAGTATTTACAGTAATGAAAAACATGCTGTACTAGTTCTGTTAGCCTGTGGCAGAGCTCCATCCATCCATCCGTTTATCTGTTTCTATTTGTCAAGTAGCGCTATGACTGTGAACATACTGCTACCACTGTTGCTAATAATAAGATGATACTGCAAATGTGCAGAAACTCTAATTGAAGGTTAAAAACCAGTTTGCATAGTTGGATGAACCCTGTGTCTCTACAGTTATTCCTCCTTCTCTCTGTCTTCCAGCACCAAGTGAGCTGATTGATGTCACTGAGAAACTGCAGTAAGTATGTGAAACATTTAGATGTTACAGTAGGAACAAATAACTTGAGGGGATTTGTTTAGGGCTGCATGTTAACACTAGTCTTAGAATAATAACGAGCTTTGTGTGTTCTCTATCTGCTATAAAATGACTGTTTTCAAGCTTTGATGATGATGCCAATGAGCTCGGGTCTCTTTCTGTTGCCTGCCATTCCAACAAGTGTAGAAAACATTAAAGAGAATAAACATAAAAGCCAAACAGGATCAGTTGGTGCCTCTTCATCAGCTGTGTTTCACTCCCAGCATACATGAAATACAGCTCGCTCTCTTCTTTTCTCTCTGCTGCTGCATCACGGACCACCAGTGGGGAGACGGTTCTTCATCAGGCTGCGTCGCTGTGTCACAGGACTATCTGTCATTATCTGGTAGAAGCAGGAGCCTCGCTCATGAAAACAGACCTGCTGGTAGGTTCAGTAGCGTTTATAGTTCTCCATGACTCTGTGAAACAAAAAGGAAACGCCCTCCTTCTTTGTCAGTGTTAAGTTGCTTTTTATATTTGCAGACTGATTCATGTAGCTCACGATCACAGACCAAACTACATACACACAGTTGTGTTTTTGCCATCGTTACTG